CTGATTCTGGGCACTGTAAATACAGTCTATTCCCCCCACACACAGAGAACAGAAATTCTGGATTCTGTCGATCCCCCATAAAGCCTCATCCATTTAATCTAATCAGCAACAACGCTTTCAACAAGCAGGCAGGTTCTATTTTAGAATCCAACAGGTAACAGAGGCTCAAGACTTCCATAGCTGATTCCTGAGGAGATCAGGTGGACTGTTTGTTACTCTTCTGGCAGGAAGGTCTGCTGGTATTTACAGCTCAGTGAACAGTAAGGAAGGAGAGAGCACCATCCATCAGCAAAGGAGAACTCATCTGCTACTTGATCTGACATTCTGTTCGCGCTCACGCTGTCTCCAGAGAGCAAGGTGCATTCATTTGAATAAACATGGAGACAGAAGGAAGGGAGGGGAGCACAGCAGCCAAAGGGATGACTGCAGAAATAACAAGTCCACAGATCTAGAAGAGTAGTTCTCAGCGGGGAGCTGCCTCAACATGGGACCCTTTGGGGATGTGCAGAAAATGCTTTTTAGGATGGCTTCACTTTTACGAAGTAATGGCTGCAAGCTGCCATTCACCTCCACTCATGCCTACTACTTAGTAGGTGCTGAACGACGGTGTGCTGAATGAACACAGGCTTGCCTTGAACCCCAGCCAGACAGTAGACACCCTAATCACAATACCACGGTGAGCTGGTAGGAAGAAACCACCGGCTTCTGGCAGCAGATGATGTTTTAAGGCTGCCTTCCTGACAGGGTGGGGTCTGTCCTTGGAATCATATCCCACTGTAAGGGCTGGGATATCTGTATGAGCATGATGTCTGCATCAGGCAAATCCTTAAATCTGTTTTACAATGGCCCTGAGTAGGCACCTTGGGAATGAACGCACATTCAAAGTGCTCCATTTTACTGTGTCTATTTATGTAAAGCATACCATCTAGTAGGCTGTGCCTCATTGCCGCCTTCAAGCTCTCTATCTTCCTAAAAATCCACTTAATGCTCCAGAGACAGATAGCCCAGATGCGACATCACAAAATGCTCAACACCTTAAATGAGGGCAAACTCTGGTGCCCATAGCAACTCCACAGTTCATTTTACATTTTCATCAGGTAGACGGCCAAGCAGTTGTTACTATTTGTTCAGAACAGGAAGTCACTTAAAGTGATTTTCTGTTGATTCCATACTTCATAAAATATAATTCTCTAAGAGATTTCTTTGTAAAGGTTTTGGTAATTAAATAAAATTAACTCTGCCTTTTAAAATATTAGTTAGTCTGAATAACTAAAAGAGTCCTACTGATTGCAAAAATGGTGAGGTTGTATCACAGGTGAGGCTACAACCTCCTAATAAGCGAAATTATTTAAAATGCCACACATAAAAAAAGACACTGATTACTCATGGTACGTGTGAAATTATATCTGTGCTGTCTCAATGATCACTGTTTATTTCTCAGTACTAAAATGTTTTGGATTATCCGACACAGAGCTCCCAAACACTAGTTTACAATCACATATGCAATTTTAAAAAAAACCAGAAAGCTATATTCAAATGAAATTTTTAATAAAATATTAAGAATTAGTCTTTTAAAGTGACAGTCTAATTTATGACATCTCTTAAGCGGATGCAAGTTTCCCATTACAATGTATATCAAGCAAAAGAATTTCAAAGGTCAGTTTCTCTGCAAAGTTTCTAGGCTGATGAAGGTGTTAACACTTTGTTTTAAGCAGCATCTGCCAGCCAGTCCTTTATCATATAACTTCAATTACTATGGAAGCCTATTCCTTCTTCTAATTAGCATGCTACAACATAGATGACAATATAGGCTGAATGGAATGACTCTGATCTTCTGGATTGCTGATTAAAAAGGGTCTGAAGATGTCTAAATATCAACATTCTTCTTCTCAAATCAATAAGCTGAGCTATAAAACCCCAGTCCCCATTAGGAAATCATCAAGTTCTCATAGGGTATCAACCACGCATAGGGTATCTCATAGGGTATATTCCACCTGCCCAGGTGAAATAAAATAGCAGCCTATAATCAGCTCATCTGTATGGCCTGAGAGGTTGGTCATCAATTACACTGCACAGGCAAGTCCTCAATTGCTTTCCGTAAACGCCACCTAGATTTTCAGGCCTGGCCCCACCCATTGTACAGTTCTTCTGACTCGAGTAACTCTCAGCCAAGTGGCGATCAGGAAAATCATTTCTGCAAGGAAGGACTCAAAAGAATTTGTCACTAGGATACAGTGACACCAATCCCACATTTTGTGGTTAATAACACAAGTCCTGCATTCAGGTTGGCACAAGGCCCTGATCTGATTTATTTCAAGCCAAGCTGGAGGACTTACAGAAAAAGCTGCCATTCATGAATGTTTCAGGAGGACAAGACACCAGGGTCCCCTGTAACAACATTTACATGAGCCAGAAATCGCTCTGACCTTTCAAAAAACCTAGCCTATTACCTAAAGAGAGTTGGTGTATTTTTTTTTAAATTTAATAGTTTTACCTACAAAATCTTAGTTTTGTCTGACATTTCTCTCCCAAAATGTGTCCTGTGGAAATGAGAAAAGGGAGGAGTGCAGGGAAAAGAGAAGAAATGCTCAGATATCTGATTTAACCATCTCAAACATCAAAAACTTGGTGTGAATTTTTTTCCTTCTTTAGTGTAACCAAAGATGAGACAAATAAGACTTACTTTCTTGGTAAAGTCTACATTTAAGTCCACATACAGCCTTCATTTAAGATTTCCTGTCCCAGTACATAATTAGGAATTTTCATTCTAAAATGGCACACCTATGTCTTCAGAGAGCTCCACTCTCTTTGAATAAAAAAGGCGAGATACCTTTTGGGGGACTTGGTATATATTTTTAAACCTATTAAATCAACCTAATTTATGAGGCATGTTCCAGAAAAGCAGGTAAGGAGTTCGATTTGGCGGATGCAAAGTTAATTTGCAGACTCTAGCATACCCACCTCCCTCCTTCCTCCTCCCCGAGCGTTACCGAATGCCTTCGGCCCCCTCCGAAGAAGCTCGGCTCTCTCCGCCCCGGCCCCGACTCGTTTACGAACAGCGTCGAATCGCCCCGAGCCCCGCGCCCAGCCCTCGCCGAGCCTTGCCGAGCGCCGCCGAGCTGAGCCCCATCGACTTTTCTGGCCTCGGCTGGGCGCTGTCCACCACTCGCAACGCCTGAAACCTCACCCAGCTCCCGTGACTGGGGCTTCTACCGGGCTCTGAGCCCGCCACTGCAGATTACAGACTCCTAAAGTTTCGAAACGTCTCCCCTTGGGAAGAATAGGTGGCTGCTTGCATTTACCGACCTACAAGGGCTCGAGGCAGATGGAACTTGCACCTTGTTGCAAAGAGCGATTCCCCAGGCCCCGCCTCCCCATCCATCTGGGTTGCACAAGCACCAGAGAAGCCCCAGGCCAAATTATCCGTGGCTCAGAGGGGTGCGGCGAGCCGAGGGGGCCTCTGCAAAGAAAGCCCAAGGGAGCTCTCGAACAAAAATAAGAAAATGTCAAGCAGACAGGGGAAATTGTCTCCAAGTCGCTACTCCCTACCATCATGGCGCCGCCTAGAACCCGCTTGTCATGCCTGTTACACATGCAAAATTTTTTGCATCTTGGTTCTGAAACCGCAAGCATGCGTCGTCTCCCACCCTCCTTTCTACGAAAGAGGTTTTTATTTTCCATTGTTTTCCTACGGGATGCAATTACTTCGGCTATTCTGTCAAGTTGAAAAATAATCATTTTTGTTTACTGCACAGCAACCCCTAATTAGGAGCTGTGTGTGCACGAAGGTGTCACAGCAAAGCGACGTGGAATCCTCGCTAAACGGCCTTAACGAACTCCTTCGTCGAGAACTGACAAGTCAACGGAAGCAGCAGGGCCAGGAGGCCCTGAGGGCGCGCACCCCTTTCCCCACAGGCTACCCACTCCCCAAGCAAGCTGCCTGTGGGCTCACCAGGAACTGCCGAGTGGATGGGGCAAGAAGCAAGCCCGAGAGTGGGAAGGAGGGGCGAGGCTTCTTATTGAGAAAGTGTGGAAGGGAAGGAATATCCCATTTTGTTTTAATTTTTAACCATCACTCAAATCCACCCCCAGTTAATTAGGAGGGGAAACTGATATCTAAGGCAGAAGGGGGCGGCGGCAAGTGGGGCCTGAAATCCGCATTGTGGGTAGATTACACGGAACGTGGCCTATGCAGAGTGTAAATAAATACACTGATAAAGACTATAGAATGAACGAAAACTGCCAGAGTCAGGACAGCAAACGCTGGGAGAGTGGGGGAGGAAGAGGGGCAGCAAGGGACAGGCATTCTGCCTCACAGCCAACATCCCCCTTCCACCTAAGCCTTGGATACAGCTGTGCCAGTCACATCCACTTGGAAACCCATCCCCTCCCCTATCACACGCCCCTTCCCCTAACCCTCACCCTCTTTTTTGGGGGCGGACAGCACAACCTCCAATTCAGCACCAAATCCATGAACAGCAGACACTTGATCCTCCACCCCAGGAATCTAGGGCTGGGCCCCCTCCATGTTTTAGCCAAGTTCAAAATCGCTGCCCCAGGAGAAGAGCGGGGGAAATGGGATTATGGATATGGAGTGGGGGGTGGAGGGAGGAGGAGTAAGAGACAGAATGAAACACAGTGAGACAGAAATGAAGGCAGCGAGACACATGAAACACCGCACAGCAAGAGTAATGATCATAATCAAACCAATAGTGTGATGTTCTGATCAATATGGCGGACACTGTCATTCATACAACTACAGGCGCTACCCACCCGGCCCTCCCCACCAAAAAACACCCACCCCAGGAGTTGGGATGAAGGGTCCAGAACCAACGTAGGGTGTGGGGGAGGGGAGTCAAATCCAGGTGTGTGTGTGTGTGTGTGTGTGTGTACGCGAATTAAAAACCGGGCCTGTAGAGCAATGTGGAGTGAGCAAGGTAATACATGATAAAAAAATTATTCTTAATAAAAGTACAAATCTCAATGCCACAGGGACTTACTTCATCTGCTTCACAATGGTGCTTTTTCCTGATTCTCCAGCCCCTGTTGGGACAGACAGGGGGGGAAAAACTGGTGAGTGTCAGTTTAGGGGAACAGGGGAGGGGGGGGGTAAGGCATGCGAGAGGGTGGGAGATCCTGGGCACATGGTGGTGCCAACTCGGGGACGAGGTCTCCTGGGGCGCGAGTAAGGTGGGGGAACTGGCGGAGGGGGTGCAAAGTGTCCGGGGTCGGGGGATGGGGGTGGCAGCCCAGTCCTTACCCAGCAGGAGTAATTTCACATCTTTGGCGGCGCTGATGCCATCCTCTTTGAGGTTTTTCTCAATCGCCTTGCTCCGCTCGAGGGCGGCTCTCTCCTCTGCGCTCAGAGTACATCCCATGGTGGCCCCTTCCCTGCCACAGCCCGCACGACTCGGCTGGCACGGCTCCCCGGCTCGGCGCGCCCCCCACCCCCCCAGAGAGCAGAGCCTGGGCTCAAAGGGGGAAAAAAAAATCACGATATCCTCCCCTTGGCTAAAAATAAAAATGTCGGGAAACCAGAATACCCCAAAAGACAGCCGCTAGCAAGATTCTAGCAGCAGAGACTCGCGACAGCTGGCGGGGCTCTGGGGGTGCCGAGGCGAGGGTGGCCGGGGTCTGGGGCTCCGGAGCCGAGGCAGGAGGCGCCCGCGGTCCGAGGAGGCGCGGGATGCAGACACTGAGGCTTGTGCAGGACCCAAAATAAATAAAATAGTCGAGGCAGGAGCCGCAGCCGGAGCCGGCGGAGGGTGGGGTGGGGGGCAGGGTGGGTCCTTCAGCCGCTGCTGCCGGAGGAGGAGGCGGCGGCGCGGGGTGTGGAGGGAGTGAGTTAGGGGGCCCTTTCCTTTCCAGGGGTGGTCTTCAGCCGTCGGTGCGTCCGCGGCGCCTTCGCCGACCCCCGCGCGCTGGACAGGGCTGGGCAGGGGGCCGGCCCGGGGGACAGGTCTCTAGCGGGCAGCGGCGTCGCTGTCTCCCAGAGCTCGCATCGCTTGGTGGAGCCTACCGAAGAGAGGGAGAGCGCGAGGGAGCCGCGGGCAGCCAGCAGCTGGAGGGGG